TGGCTGGGATTGCTAGCTGATAGCCGAACTCATTTCCTCTTCTTTTTGGGCACACAGCTAGACTATATATCCCAGCCTCCCCTGCAGTTAGGTTTGGCCACATGACTGAGCTCTAGCCAATGGAATATGAGCAGAAGTGACATAGATAACTTCTAGGACTAGACCAAATCTTCTACTCAATATCTTCCATGGGCACTTCCCGTCCACCAGCTTCTTGTAGATAAGCAGGTCTTTAATTGTATTGAAAATGGCAGAATCACAATATGGAAGGAACCTGTGTCCCTAAATCACCAATTGGAGAAGCTCACTGATCGTTAACACCCACTTTGTATGTGATGAAAACAAGAAATAAATTTAAATTGGGTTAAGCCATTGAGATGATCTGTTTTAACAGCTAGTGTGACCTTAATTATTAAAGCAAGCAACTGAGGGGCGGCCTCGTGGCTTAGCGGTTAAGTGCGTGCGCTCTGCTGCTGGGATCCCAGGCGCGCACCGATGCACCAATACTCCGGCCATGCTGAGGCCACGTCCCACATACAGCAACTGGAAGGATGTGCAACTGTGACATACAACTATCTACTGGGGCTTTGGGAAAAATAAATAAAATTATTAAAAAAATATTATAAAGCAAGCAACTGAACTTAAAGAATGTGCAAATAGCTTAAACCTAATTGGAAACATTAGCCTCCTTCAAATTTTGATCAGGTCCACTTAGATATATATATAAAAATTGAAGCAGATTCAATACATCTTGGGTCTCATAAAATTTATCATATAGACCATAGCAAGAGCGATTCTAGACTTCTTGCCTCCATTCCCCCCCCAAAGGCCCTCCTTCCTGTCCATGCCCCAGAGACCACTCATAAACTTTGTCATTTCTATGCATATTTCCTTCTGCTACTACCTAACACATAAAAATTCTTATTTTAAGGATCAGATCAGAAACTAGAGTAAACTCTCCAAGAGGGTCACTAACAGGCCGTACTCAGCCACTTACCACCCACCAACTCTGTATCCCATCTGATGTCTATCTCCTGTACTTGGATGCTATGGCACACGTACTACAGACCGGTACTTTTCCAGATCTTAGAACATATCAGTGCTGGAAAGATGTTTAAAACAATCAACAGGGGGGTCTACTTGCACTGCCAGCCTAACCCCAAAATGCCCCATAGAGAAGTTAGAATGAATTCTATGGTTGCCTCTGGATTTGTCTGGACTCAGGCAAGGCAGTCAGGCTTTCGTTGTCCTGCACCACTCAGTCATTGTCCAAAGGTCGCCAGGGGATATAAACTCCCAGGCACTTCCAGTTCTCTGCAAGTGCCTGGGGAAAAGAGGCTCTAGTAGCATGAGGGCAGCCATCCTAGAGAGCCATAGCCAATTAGAAAGAAAAGCACACAGAAGGTGAGGTTAGGGTGCCCAGTACAAGGGATTTGCTGGGATCTGGCCAGAGAGCACACTGACAGCATCCACCCGAAAAGAGTTGAATTATTCCTTCTCTGTGCACCAAACCACAACCTGATGTCCTTGTATATCACCACACTTGTCACGAAGTAGGGTGATTGTAACAGTTCACATATCTGACTCCCATGGTAGACCAGACTGTTCATTAAGGCCCAGAGATTGCATATGGTCTGCCTAAATATAGCTAGTTCAGTGATTTAAACGTAATGGGTGCTTAGTTATTGTGTGCTGAATGAGGGACTATAAATTGACTAGATTGTTAAAGCAAGGTGATGGCACAAAGAGATTCCTTGGTTTGATAGTAACTGTAACTTTCACTGTTCCTTTTGCAAGAGCAGCCCTAGTGTGGTTGATAATTTCCTCAGAAGCCTCCCTTTTCCTCATTTGGAATATTATTGCATAAGCAACAAACCACATCTGCTGATTTATATTCTAGAAGAAAATACAATGACCACCTTGCAAATTTCTCATTGTCTACGGAGAAAGTTACTGTATTCAAATCTCACTTTCCTAAGCCAAGAAATCTAGGCTACTACAGTGCTCTGTGTACTTTTTGGGCAAATATTATTGTCTAAAACAGAACTGAATATGTTAACAGATGTAATCAATTTTAATATTTTAAAAAGAGAGGAAACAAAATCTTCAACTTTTTATTGTCCTTAAAATGACTGTTCACATTGTTTCACAAGTAGGGGAAGAAAATACAATGACCATTTAGATCTAAAATGCATAATCCAAGAACACCTTACTTCAAACCAGTGGGGCACAGCCACTAGTGATGAGAATGTTGTTGCATGAAATAATCATATATTCTTCCATAATTTAATATGCAACTGAGACATTATGTTAAAAATATCAAGGAAGCAGCCTATCAAATGCTAAGTGATTACAGAAATACTGATGGAATGAATGTATTTAGAAACGGGGTAATCTAAGGGATGAAGGTTAACGCAAAGGTCAGCAGCCCAAAGAACAAAGACTCCACCCTTCCCTGACTCTGGGATACTTGATAAGCGACTTCAAACCTCTCCACATCTCTGGCACAAGCATAATATGTGTGGCAAGCCATAGTTCCTAGTTGCTTCTTAGCGATGCTTCAGGGCTAAATAAGATAAAATTTATGTGCTATGCTTTAAGCTCCATTGAGGAAAGGCACTGAATAAACTTCAGGATAATTTATGAATCCTGAGCTTGCATTAGTCATGTCCAGGTCCATCGCATAAAAGGAAAAAATGGAAATAGGAAGCCAATGCTGTGTGGTTGGTGAAAAGCTCAACAAACTTTGGGCAATGGTGATAAGCCCAAACAATACCACTTTCTATGCATAAAATCCTTGACTAATCCAGCAGAATTTCACAAAAAAACATAACTCCTTCCAATGGTCAGACAATAGTTCACTGGCAGAACATCTGGTATATGAATCAGAGAAGTATGTTATCGTAGTCTTAGTCTGAGATCTCATATCTAATTTCCTTTTAATTTACCATAATTATTTTTGTAAAACTTTATGGCTCTACTCCAGTGGATGTGTTTAGCAAGTATTGCCAAAATCCTGTCTTCTCTTCAGAATCACATTCTTAAGCCAGCTTCTCCCTACTTTTTTTCCCTTCCCTTCCAGATGCATTTTACCTTCTTCCCTCTACCACTTACTCAGTGTCTGCTTTTTTTAGTAATCTGCATTGAAGAGAAGGGACAACAAGAGTGCAATCTGAAAATTTAAACATGAGCATATATTTGGAAATCCAATCCTACTAGAAAATTGTTCCAGCTAGTAGTGATGATTTGGTATTGTTGCTTTGGGTTTGTTTTATTTTAATAATGGCCATCCTATCTACAAGTTGCAGTATAACCAAGTTACATCAAGTAAAGTGAATCAGGACAAGGCAGCCCCATCATTTAGAAACTGTGATGGTCCCAACTGATCACCAAGCAGCTTTTCTAAACCAACAGGCAACTGAACGATTCCCATTTCCAAAGTCAGAACTCTATGATTTATCAAACACTTTCTCTGACCTGCAGAAATGTGTTTATTTGGAGTTTAAAAAGAGAAATCTAGAAGGAAAATGCTATTCATACAAGCATAACAAACCTCAGCTGATTTTAAACGTCCAAGTACAGGAATAAAACAAGGAGTATTTTGTATGTCTAAACCAAATCAGAATGATTCCTCCAGAGAAAAGGCACACATGTTTCCGGCACCCCTAACCTAAAACCATTTGCTTTTAAAAAGAGAAACTAAGATGACATTAGGCCATGGTTAAGAGGAGGAAAAGGTAGCTGCCCTTCAGAAGTTGATCCATTCGGAGAGGAGGAGGTCAAGGGGAAAATCACTCTCCTCTGACTGACGCAGTGTAATTATTTTCCTCATGATGGTGCCCCTGCATTTTGCTTCCTTCAGAAGTTCCCATGGTTACAAAAGGACATGGCACACACTTATATTTTTAAAAAAGATGACAAATCACAGGGATGCAGAATGGCCTCCTATGGTTAGTCTGAATTTGTCATTTTGCTTTTGAGATTTTCCTATTTGCCCACTTACCCCAGAACTGTATGTACAATGAATAATGTGAAGGAGGGACGGCTATTTTAAGAAACCAGATGCGCCAGGTAACCACTTTAAGGCCATCACAATTTTATCCTACACACACACACAGTAATAAGAGATGGAGGAGTTCACTGGAAAGGACAAAGTTCTGGTGATCAAAAATATAGTACTGCTCTTTCTTACAGACTCTTCAGAAGAAGACTTGAAAAGTAAAAATTATGTTTCTTTGGACTATGCAGGGAATTTTAAATTCAACCAATAGATTCTAAAATGTCTTCAATCAAGAATTTTTTCAAAAAGGTTTTTTAAAAGAAAGGTAACATTAACTGAGCCAAAACAGAAGGGCACTTTGCACCCTCCTCAATGTGGTGTTCGTCCCTTTGCACTAAAGGGGAATGAAAGCTATACATTCTTAATGGGAAATTAGAAAATCATTTTCTCAACCCCTGCTCATTTCAGAAACAGGAGAATGCACATAAATGAGGATAACAAGACAAATAGGAATTGGACTAAAGAAAAATGTCTGGCAGACAGAGGTAATCACTGAGGTTTGGGCAGACTAGATCAAATTTTGGAGATTTCATCTCCTAGTGTCTCTGCTGTTGTGTGACTAGGAGTTTTGACTTCTTCTGAGACTTAAAGATATATCCTTTTTTTTCTGTTTGATGAACTCAAATCCTTTACCAAGTAGCATTTCTGCCACCTTTGTTCATGCTGATTTGAACAGGGCAATCGGCTACATCAGATACAAGCTGTGAGGCACATTTTCATTCAAATAGACTCCAAAGCTGAAGGCAAGAACTTCATCAAAAATTGTACAATGAAGATCCAACATATTTCTAATTTAACTACCCTAAAGTTAATAAATGACGTGTAAGGATGATATATAAAATCTAGCACTGCATCCCACAGAGCAGTAAGACCTCCCAGGTATCCACGCACGTGTCCTCATCATCGAGGGTTACAAGTTTAATAGACTGAATTTTTTTCCGGATACATTCTACTTAGGGACCCTGCAAAGCCGTAGATTAAAATGGCATGTACCACTTAGCTGTGGCTTACACACTAAAATGGACAATAGCAACAATTCAGCAGATAGCGTTTTAACAAAAGTAGCCTAGGGATTTATTTTTGTTGGTTTGGTTTTCTAAAGAAACATACTTGGCTCACTTTTTGTATCCCATTTTTTAAGCCCTACAACTTTGAATAGATACTGTTTAGATCCAAGCAATACCCAAATAATGAAGATGCGTTAAAAATAAAAGTCCTCAGGGGAATAGAGGCCTAAAGCAGTAGGCGATGAGTGCTCAGTGCAGCCTCTGCTGGCACTGTACGGCTCTCTCAGGATGGCATAAACCAGCAGTCCCGCTACCAGAGTCGGCAGGCGTCCATGCCTCTGTTCATCGTGGAATTGGTTGGACAGCTAAAAGCTTTCTGGAATTCTTCAAAGTTGCTAACTGCACCATTGACCCTGAAAAAGATATGTCAAAGTCCATGTCATTTAATTCTGACACATCAACAGGCTTTGGATAAAACTGTAGAACGCATTGCTTGAAGGGATCTTGCATTCATTTAATCTGTTTACAGGGGAGACAAATGAAGGCCAAAATGGTTTAATAAATTTCCAAAGAAATTAACAGAGCTGAGACTAAAACCACCACCTCCTGAATACCAGACAAATGCTCCTGTTAATCTTCCAAATATCTTCAAATTCCTATAAACTGTAGGATTTACAATTCCTATAAATTGTATATAGGGTTGTATGTTCCTATAAATTTACAAATTCCTAAAAACTGTAGGATTTACCAACACTTAGCTTTTCTATTTTTTTAATTTAACTTTTTATGGAAGGTATAACTGATATAAAGTGCACACATCTTAAATGCAAAGCTCATCGATTTTTTCATGTGTATATACCCATGTTACTACCACCCAGATCAAGACATGGGATATTTCCAGCACCTAGAAGGTTCCCTTGTGTGCCCTACCAGTAGTACCTCCAAGGATAACTACTAGTCTGACCTCTATCACCATAGATTAGTTTTGCATGTTTTTAAACTTCATATGAATGGAACCACACAGTATGCACTTTTTTCTCTGATTTCTTTCACTCAATGTATGTCTGTAAGATTCATCTATGTTGTTGCTATCTTTAAAGCATTCATTCAATCTACACTGATTGAATAGGAATCTCTAAATTCCTATTATGTTTGAAGGCTCATATTTACCTAGAATTTGGTTCATGCAACAATAAACTAATGAATGGTGTCTAGTTGTTATTGATGAGTAATGCTTTACTGGAGTTAGCTCCAAAATATGGTGTTCTTGAAAGTTACCTGACTGCAGTCGAGACTGCAGATTCCTACTCAGCATTTTGATTGTAACTGTCTTTTGGAAATGGTATTTCCATTGTGTGATTTCTGCGGCACTCAAAATCTATAGTTACTGCAGACATCACTAACAAGCCAACAAAGAAATCTTCCCCTCTCATCTACTTCTTACTCAACTGCATGTTCAAAGGATCGACTAGAGACTCAGCATTCTCGGTCACTATTTCTTCCCTAATGACTTTGTTACTTACAGGCATTTGAATGAATGTAATGGCCTGTATCCAAAAAGTTCCCATAAACCTCTTGTGTTTTAGCTGGGATATATTGGTAGGGAAGCATATTTTATAGTGTGATTCACCATGGGCAAGTGTTAAAGATAGAATTTAGCTGATAATTAGTAAGTATTCTCTGCAAATTATCAGCTGAAATCCAACATTATAGGCAACTAGTTAGAAAAGGAAATTAGTTTCTAAAAACTTATCTGTTGAGTAATTAATCTACTGTGTGGTTTCATCTGCACCATTTGTCAGTGGGAGCACATTTTAGTCCATTAGAGGCTGTCAGCATTCTTGACAGTTTAGCCCAGTGGGGGAGAATTTCTAACACAGTGATTAGATTTTTATGCTATTAGGTAATTTATAGTCAATTTCTGAAGCATTTCTAAGGCAAGGTTTTAGGAATAAGATTTTAAAATATAGGAGAAATTTTAGATGACTTTCCTGCAATATGCTAATGGATTCATTTAAACATTAAATGTAAAGATATCCAGATATAATATGTTCTAAGCAGAGAATGAATAAATACAAATTATTATGATTTCTTGGATTTCCCATTAAAATTCTCTGTACCCTACTATAGAAAATTTCCCTCAAACTATGCTAGAAACTTACACATGATAAGTAATATTAACCTTAATTTATTTTTACTTAATATTTTATACATTCTGATAATTAAATAAGATTGTAATTCATAATCCTTTTCCCTTCATATATAAGCAATTATTTCAAAATATGATTCAAACTAAAAGCCAAAATATAGAGCTTTTGACTCTAGATATGAATTATAATAGCTAAATATCACCATATATCCTTCTATGTGTTCAGAGCTATTCAGAGAGTGGGCACTCATTCATGTCTGTTGGTTGGCTGCACGAAAGAATAAGAGGCATTAAATAGGATATTCTATAACATAATATAAACCGGAGCTCTACGTGTTTTAAGGCACAGAACATAAGATCTTATTCTTGTTTAAGAAAATAGAGACTTTTTTTGGCCCAGACAAAAAATTAAGTGGTTGGATAAATAAAATATTCCAGTTTACTGAGCACCTATGGACTTCTACCTTTCAAAAATTGGAAGATAACATAAATGGGAATCAATACTAAAGCTATGATTTGGATTCTAAATTCCCTTTGGAGTCTTGTACAATCTCATGGCTCTCTTGATACAGCACTATACTAGAGGTGTGTACAAGTGCTCACCACAGAAATTTAGCTGAGAGAATGCTGATTAAACCAGCTTCCTACTAATGAAAGAAAAGATGCTTAGTTTCTGTTTGGCCAGATTTTTTTTTTGTCTATAAAATGGAGATATCACACTGTTCACAATCCAGGCTTTTGTTCAGATCACCTATTTGTTAGAGCACTGGGATGGCTGGGAAGCAGTGGAAGTGGAGAGATGCACAGTTAAAAACTAGTGTTACCCATTTACCTAAACTGAGGGGGGCTGTGAGCACCAATTTGGACTTGTTCCCGGGCAGCTTCTGGTCTGTAGGAATTGCACCTCACCTAGAAGAGAAAAGCATCTCAATAAATACGTTTCCATTCCAATTACACATTTTCTACTGCCTTAACTGCTCCAAATTATACTGAAGAGTCATTTTAGAATAAATGGATGACAAACAGTTTTAGTAGATCAGATAAAACCCTCATCAGTAGTAGTATCTACTGTTCTAATCCCCAGAGTAGAAGGTTTTATCATTGTGAATAATTCCACAATTTGAGTAAATTACAAAGGTTTCCAGATAAATCAAGAGAAGAGTATATGTGCCCAGGAATCAACCAATGTATTCATTCAATTACTATAATGCTTGGAATAGCCCTTATCAAATTTAACCATACTCATTTGAATCAAGAAAATGAATCAACCATCATTATCGAGTATGGTCGTGAGAAGTTAGTATTTTGCACCCTGGGTGCCTTGCTTGCCTCACCTTAGTCGAGGCCTTGGATATGAGGACACTTCTCCATCTCTTTTGAAGTTAGGCATGACTATACGACTTGCTCTGACCAATGAAATGCAAGCAGAAGTAATATATGTCACTTCCTGGAGGATGCTTTAAAAACCTGGCAGAAGTTTTAAGAGCCTTAAGAACAATTTAAGATGCTACATTAAAGGCCAGTCCACATATCCTCGTATTTCTTTCCCATCCCTGTGGTGCCCATGGAAGCATATATCAAGATACAGACTCTAAAGCCAGGTCCTTGAGTAATAACTATGATCACAGCCCCACTGCTGACACATGTTGGACATGGAGCCTGAATATGAAATAAACTTCCCTTGTGTTGTTTGTTTCCGCACCATAACCTACTTAATCCTGACCTGAAGTATGTCTTGAAATATGATCCAGTCTTGAAGTAAGAATAGAACCAGGACACATGAACATGATGCGGGGAATTCCAAGTGGAGGAGAAAATGGAAGCAAAGACATATTTGAGAAACAAAAGCAAGATATTCAGCTTGGCTGGACTGTGTGGTGCACAATGGGCAGCAATGGGACACCAGGGCTGAGAGAGGATGGTGCCAGATTTCTCAAGTCCTGAGCAACAGGATAAAGTGTTTAAACTATATGTAAACATTGTTTTTGAGCAGGAAAATTATAAAATCCATATTTTTAAAAGATTTATCTGGCAGGGGTGTATAGTAGTAGGAGGAAATTAGAGACTAGTTAGAAGATTATTTATGGACACCAGGAAGGGTCTCAATGAATGTCCACTAAATAAGTAGAAATAGGAATGGAGAGAAGTAGAAGGATATCTGAGGGAAAAATTGACAGGTCACAGAAACTACAGGGATACAGGAAGCAGGAAAGGTGATTATGATGCTATTGTTTTTGATGAAGATAAACCATCAGTCACTGTGGTTCTGAATTTGACTTTGAAGATGTTTTCATAATGTGATTCCTTAAATTCCTCAGAAGCTAGCTAATGTGAAGTTGTTTCTAGCATTCGATTTTACCTCATTTTTTCTTATGTTATTTCTTCTTGTATGCCTACATCACTATATAGCACTGTCTTTGCTGCATATATTATTTAAGAGATTTCTGAAAATACATTATGGTTGTTACTGTTTTCCTGGTACCTTCTCAGGAGAGAAAATAATTTTATTCCCTATAAACAGACTTATTCCAATGTGCAAAATGCTGAAAATCTCCTCAATCCATCAGTAGGAAAAGCTCTAAGATAAATTTCTCATTAGTGATATAAAATAGCTTGCCATTTTTTCCTAAATCTCTTTAGTTTAAAATAAATCAGATACAGTTTGGAACGTTATAAGGAGACATTTCAAAATTATGACTATAATACATTGCTATCAGTTAGTTTACTTCACCTACAAAGAGATATTGTGGACTAGGACGTAACTAAGATAGACGCACTGTAAGTAAGTAAGAACCTAAGTAAGAACTGATGGACCTTGTACTTTGTCCTCTAGAGTAGGGGTCAGCAAACTTTTTCTGTAAGGGAACAGACAGTAAATATTTTCGGCTTTGCAGATCATAAGGACTCTGTTTCGACTGCTCAACTCTGCTGTTGTAACACAAAACCAGCCACAGACAATACGTAAAGGAAAAGACCATGGCTGTTTTCCAATAAAACAGTATTTACAAAAATAGACAGTACTCCATATTTGGTCCATGAGTCCTAGTTGGCCAACCCCCGCTCTAGAAAGTTCTAACTATATTGTGTGTGCTCATTTTAGATATCTGACCCAGTACTGACCCAAAAGAAAGTCTCCTTAATTGAACTGTTAATCTTATCCTTTTCAAGCAATTCATCTAAAAATGTCAAGCATCTTCAATATACCCAGCATCTTTGCTGGATTCTATGGAGATACATACAAAGTGTAAGGATCCAGAAGATCAGCTATGGAGATAAAACTAAAAGTCTTCAACATTTTGAGAACAATTAAGTACTCAACTGCCTGGTGATGAAGATAAGTGTAAAGGAGTTGGAGATTTATAAAAAAGAGAGAGAGAGAACAGGAGTCCTTGGGAAAGTTTATGCAAGACGTGGAGGAGGTGGAACTCAACATGGATTCTGAAGGATGAAGATGAGACTTAATAAGCTGAGGGGGAACAGTAGGAAGAGGGTCACATTATAGATGGAAAATCAAAAGCAAAGCCATAGAGACAGTAATGGGCATGACAGTGTGGGGTGGAAGTGAGGACGCCTGCCCAGCTAAGAGTGAGTCTGGTGGAGCTGGGGGAATTCAGAGCTGGTTGGGTAGAGTTCGGTAAGACTGAGGAGAACTTTGAAAGCCAGCTGGAGCTGTTTGGCCTCGATGTGGTAGGCTCTTGGAAGCCACTGCAGTTCCTTCAGCAGGTCAATGATAAAATAAAAGTTGTATTCCAGTAGCAGGTAAGACAGACAGTGGTGGAAAGATGTCAAAGTCAGGAAAACATATCATAAGGCTATTGGGATAAGCCAGACTAGAAGAGATCAAGGCCTCACCCAGAGATGCAAAAAAGGATAACAGGGAGAAAGAGGTTGAATCTGAAGAGCAGTTAAAATGATGAAACATCTAGCTTTTGGGACAGGTGTCATAAAAACGAGGATAGATAAATCAAATAAGACCTAAGAATCTAGGCTTTCTAACCAGGAAGACCCAAAGACTGGGGGTGTATTGACAGAAATGGAAAAAGTAAAAAGAAGTCATTTTGTTGATGACTCCAGTTTTGTTGACAACCTGTTGATAAATGATAATTTATTTAGTATTGTCATGTCAGCTTTAAGAAATAAAAGACCCCAGACAGGTGAGAATCTTTTAACCAGAGTCAACCAAAGAAGACATGAGGACAAATGAGCTTACTGAGGAGTGAATGCAAAGACTTAGGAACAAAAGGTTGTACTGATGAAAACTTTTGTCTAGTTTTGAGCATACAGATACACATCTGCCCACGGTGAAGCCATGTATCAGAATCTTCATCAACCTATCCCTGACTTCTTTGAAAATGAGGCCTACACATTTGTGACATAAACCAGTGCAATAACCAATAACAAAGAAGAATTGGCACTTGCCTCATTAGCCAGAGACTGGAACTCAGAGCTGTGCCTTATTTAGTGCATGTCTTCTTTCAATTTCTGCTCAGAGAGCCCATTGAACTCTCAAAAGAGTGGCATGACTCTCCTTGCCTTTGTTGTTGCTTTTTTCAGCTCTAGTAGTCTTCACATATTCATTTGACAGTTGGGAACATAGCCTTGAGGTTCCCCCCCAGATTGAGAGTGATGGGATAAAGTCAGCAAATGAGGCAAAGGAGAAAGAGAAATGCAGGGAAGGGCAGGACCATGAAAGCCAAAGAACGAGTCACTAGAAATGGTTATAAATGGTATCAACTACATTAAGAAGTCAGGATATATTAAAGAAATATCAAGTGGGTTACTATAGGGCTGGTAACCCACTTGATAAAAAATATCAATAAACTTTGATCAATTAGTTAATTAATTATGTCCCATAGAACATTAAGAAGGTGAAATTTATCCTGAAAATAAGCAGCAAGATAAAATCTCAGCTAAAATCAGTTATGCCATTAAACTTTTGTCCCAAACCTTTTGTCAAGGGAGCAAGCCAAAGTTCCACATTTCATCTTCGATGCCCCCTCCTTGGTCTACTCACGTGAGCATAACTCAGGAAGAAGAGCTGGTTGTTGGTGAATGCGATGCCTGGTAGGAGAGGCTCCTCAGCTCCCTGCCTCTTGTCATCTATCCATTTTCTGTAAGCCTAGTGAGAGAAGCAGAACAGATGATCCTCTGCAATGATGGCTTTTCTCTTCTCTCATCCAGAGCAGAGATATTAAATATGTCCTCCATCATGTGCAAAATGCATCCTGTCAAGTTTTCTTTTAAGAAAACAGACACCTGGAAATGCAAGTCAATGTCATATTGCTCAACAGTGAGGCCAGGTCACCTGTAGAAAGATCTTACACTCAATAGATACCAAAGCAGCTGGGCCAAAGCGTTCACATGTTAAATAACTTCCCCCTCCCCACACCCAAAAAAAGTTGTTCTTTCTATTCCTACCAGGGAACAAGCCAATCTAACACAATGGCAAGGCCTATGCAAATACATTTTGGGGTCAACGTACTGCCAACTTTTTACTTTGCCAAGTAAGAGGGAAAACTCTCATCTTCAATCACCATCACTTTATAAAATAAAGTATATTTTAACTAGAATAAAGGAAGGATATAACCTCAGAAGAACAGCCTGGTCTTTACATTGAATGCATTTAGCTTTATGAAAATCTTTCCACATAATCCTTATGTTTCTTGTTTAACCATGGATCAGTGGATGATGAAAACATTATTATGGACTCTTACCTGGCCCACTATATGAGAACCACTAGCCTCTGGCCATAATTTAGTAGTTTGGTATTTTAAGGGAAAATTACAAGAAGGGCTAAAGAGAGAGTGTACTCAAGGAAAACTCATATGAACCTAGCCCTGAGGACATTTCTATAGCACGCTTTGATATTGTTGTGAATGTATCTTTTGAAAACTATCCTTTCAATACATGATTCTTAATAACAAATATTATTCTTTAGAGTGACTTTACACCCTCTAAAAAAAGAAAGAAATGCAGCTCTAGTAATATAATAGAGTATAATAAAGTCAATGGGGAAATATAATTCTATTTACAGAAATTCACAGAATTTACAGAAATCTAACTCCTCAAGAATATGTCTGTGTGTAAATTGAGGTATATTCAATATGGTGTTTTATAGTTTAATTTTAAAAATCAGAGCAAATGTTGCAGTGCATACCCTAAAAGCTTCACGCAGACCTCCATTATCAGCAATATTTTCTCCCAGGGTCCTCTTCCCCTTCACCTAACAAAAAGAAAAAGAAAAACAGAGTGTTTCACAGCCAACTATCATTCAGCAAGAGGCATAAATATGATAGCAAGAAAAAGTGCCATATTTTAAAGAGAAAATTACATTCAATAAAAGAGGTAGTCGTAATACATTGTGAGATAGCAAACTATCCCCAGCAAGGTGCTCCTGAATATAATGATTTCTATTTTATTATGCTACACATTTCTTTCTCACCCACCTCTTTATTCTCACCAATTTAGCCAGCTCCAATAAAATGTTAACAATATTCTGAGTGACTCTGGTTTAATGGGGAAAAAATAGAAATCAATATACAGATTACTTTCTCTGATTAACTCACATAATTTGAGTATTCTTTTCAGTGTGCTTGTGTTTCCCAAAATTTACCATCCACACAGGAACAAGATTTCAAGACCAGCCATCACCATTTTATCGTCAGCAATTTTCAGGAAAAATTAAAAGGAGGGAAGTTCTCATGGGGAATAAAAATCAAATAGAAGTAGCGCAGACCACAAGGTCACAGTCTGCAATATGTATGACAACCAGCCAAGCATGGGAAAGAAATTATTCCCAACATTTGAAGATTGTTTCCTAAACCCTTAAATAGGCTAAGAGGAAAAATATTCTAAACCAATACAGTCTACAAGCCAAAACTCAACTTGGCACTTATTTATGTACACGCTGTAAGGTAAGACTGGATTTAACATTTTTCAATGGGGGGGGGAATCGAGAGGAGGATAATATTTTGTGGCATGTGAAAATTATATGAGATTCAAATTTCAGTGTCTATAAATCAAGTTTTATTGGCACACAGCCATGCCCAATCGTGTAAATTTTGCCTATGGCCGCTCTCTTACTACAGTGGCAGAGTTGAGTAAATAAAAAAATGACCTTAAGCCCACAAAGCCTAAATTATTTACTATCTGGGCCTTAACAGAAAAAGTTTGCCAATCCCCGCATAGGAGGCAGAATATTGCTCGCCTCCAAAGATGTCTATGTCCTAATCCCTGGAACCTATAAAAATGTTACCTTATGTGGCAAAAGGGACTTTTAAATTATGATTAAGTTAAGGATCTTGAGATGGAGACATTAGCCTGCATTATCCAGGTAGCTCCAATGTAATTACAAGGGTCCATGTAAATAGAAGAAAAGGAAGTCAGGAGAGTGAGTGTGTCAGAGTGACACAAAGCGAGAAGACTTGACCAGTCATTACTGGCTTTGAAGAAGGAAGGTGCCAGAAAGCCAAGGAATGTGGGCAGTCTCTAAAAGCTAGAAAAGACAAGGAAACTGATTCTCCCCTAGAACAGCTAGAAAGGAAGGCAGCCCTGCTGACACCTTGATTTTAGCCCACTGAGACCTGAGTCAGACATACAGAACTGTAAAATAATAAATTTGTATCATTTCAAGTCACTAAATTTGTGATGATTTGTTATAGCAACAGGAAATGAATACACCCCACTCTAAACTTTCAAGCCACAGATCCTACCAACTCTTTCCTTTCAAGCTAGCCCAATCACCCAGGCATCAAGCAATACCAATGAATAAAAACAAATCTTCAGAAAACATTAATCTCTGTAATCACCCAGAACCCTCCTAGCTTCAGTCCCAAAAAAGTTACTACTCCTGCTTTACCTACATTCTTTCTTTTACTACGGTCCTAAAGAGTAAATGCTATTATCACCAACCTCGCTTAACAAACAGGGGATCTAAAGCTCCGAGTGTGTGGCAGATGTTGTTGGTGCCACACCAGATCCCTTTTTGACCAGGAGTGTGCACCCATTCCTGCAACTGCCACCAGCTCTGGAAGATTAGTCTCAGCTCAGGGGAGTCGCCTCATCTGGAGATTCCCGGGAGGTGATACCCCACCTCTCAGTAACTGACATGTGGTTAGAATAGCCCAGCCCTTCACCTGGGAACAATTTCTGTAGTGTAATTCATGCTCCAGAACCCTCTATGGGATCAGGCTGAGGCTAAACTTTTGAAACCAACATGTTTTCCTCATTCTCTTACCGGTCTCTCCTGAAACTACCACCGTAATCAATCATTTACCTAAGAAACCCCTTCTTGGGCTCTGCTTCTAGTGAACCTGACCTAAGACAGAGCGATTAAGTGAATGCCCACGCTTCGCAGGGATTCAAACCCAAGCAATCTGTCACCAGAGACTCTGCTCCACAATATGCTACCTTCTTAAGTCTCAACTCCTCTTGACTCTGGTGTTTCTGTTTATACCCACTCATGCTCAAATTTAATCTCCTTCCTTGTTCCTCTAAGTTTTATCTAAATTAGAGGTTTGGGGAGTAGCCTCACCCCTCTGGCTCCTCCCACTCTGGACCACCTCAGTAGACCACATGGCCCTAGGTTTGCCTCTCAGGACTCAACAGCTGCTAACAGTCTGCTTCTGTGGCGCTCCATCGGAGCTCCCCTCCACTGCAAAGAAGGATTCAGGCACAAATGACCGGCCTCCACAAAAGGAGCCAGAAAAATAAAGCGTGGCCCTTTATATCCACAAAGGAAGCCACTCCCTCTCCTCTGGGAATGAGAATGAAGCTGTTTTCTGATGGCTGAGTGGATTTATGCTGAGATAGGCATGCCCTTTCTATCGTCCTTGTGACAAAGGTACACATTTGTCAGAATTCAGTTTCAATATCTGACACTTTGGCCAAAATGAATGTTGTAGAATACTCCCCCCAACACATTGCCTAGGCATAAAATGCACTTAAACTAAGAGAACCAGAGCATGATATGGGGGGAAAAGTATGGATTTTGGAGTCATACCAATCTAAGCTCTAATCTAGACTCTACCATGAGTTTTAATCTCTTTGAGCCTCAGTTTCCTCATATGTAAAAGAGGCTAGTAATGTGTACACCTCTCAGGACCAGTATGACGATTAAATTTGTTTCAATTAAGTGAAAAGTCTAACTCTCATACCTGCATAGAATAATCACCAGGAAATATGCATGCCCTTCCTCCAAGAAAACTGCTCTTGTTTTTTGGGTTCTTTTCAGTGCCAAAATCTTTGGCTTTGTTTTCCCCTAGGTTGGCATACCTATGAGTATGTCACTAAGTATTAGGAATATTAACTACAATTTATTGAGCACTTATTGTATGTCAGGCATCATGCTGGTGCTTTACATTATTTCAGTCATTTAATTCTTACTACAAATTAACGAGTTCAGAAATAGTTACCCATTTCACAGATGAAGACTCTGGGACTCAGGAATGTTACGTAACTTGCCCAAGTTTAAAAAACTTGTAATTGGTTGAACCAAGATTTTGCCGTAAGTCTGACTCTAGAACCCTTCCCCTATGCTTTTCTTGAAGCAACATATATTCTAGATGGCTTTTCACAATGTGATAACCCCTAAATTAAATACAGATACACAGAAGCACCCACTTTAGGTCTTCTCATGACACAGCTGTAGATATAAAAAACAAAATATGGGCAGTGAAATGGCTTTCCAGGGCACTGATGAAAGAGCTAGAGACACTATTCAAGGATACAGACTCTGGTTTCTCCGCCTGCATAAGGAGTGGTCTCCCTTGTGCTGAATATGGTTTAAGAACCAGGAGAACCAAGTCAATGTTTATCAACATTCCCTTTTAAAGTGCATAGATTTTTACCTAAATTCTTCTGGAATGGTGAAATAAACCCCAAGTATAATAGACTTAAGGCATAGCAAGGATGTCGGCGCTTTCGCAGCCCCAGTAAGATATCAGGATGGAGTACATCCCTAGTTAAGGGATAAAGAGACCCTGGGGAAACCACCTGAAGACACCCTGATCTACTCCAGTTCTGTGTGCTCCCTCACTTCTTGTAGGTGTTGTGCCCTTGACTAGATGAATTAGGAGCCTACAGTGTGTGCATGAGTGTTTTAGAGGAAGGTCTTCCTGCAGATCCATAATCTAACAACAATTCTTCATTATTGGTCTCTTATTGTCAAATACAATGAGAGAAATCTGTGTCTTATAATTGTGAAAGCAGGGACAGGAAATGCAATGGAAAACTACAAGAAAAAATTAATAGTGGGCGAAGGGCATAAAAATTAACCTGATGAAACCAGCAAAATAAGGAAAAGGAAAAAGAAGTTTCAAAAATGTACAGGAGATAAACTATATAGTTAAAACTATAAAATTGTATTTTAAGACCTAAAACAAACCAAACAGATGGAAAGGCATACCATGTTCTTGAACAAAAAGACTATATCGAAAAAATGTAACTTCCATACATTTAATGTGATTTAACTTAGAATCCCAATGGCATTTTCTTTGCAGATGCAGGGGGGAGAAAGGGTAAAATGATCTTGGAACATACACAGAAGTACATTTGCCTGAAAATGGCCAAGTATATAAAAGAAGAACAGTGAGGAAGAGCTTGTATTGACAGACAACAGAACAATCCATAAGGCCACAGTAATAAGGCAGTGGTATAGAAATCAACAGAGATCAGCAGAATAAAATATATAATCCAGAAATTTATCTCAGTCTATATGAGATTCTAACATTTGACAAACGTTCAATTCAGTGAGAAAAAAATATGTCTTTTAATCAATGATGCTGGATCAATTGGCTATCCTTTTGGAAGAAAATAAGAGTGAACTCTCACATTAAACTCCATAGAAAAATAAGTCTCACATACACTACATAAATGTAAAATAACAAAACAACAAAATCCTTCCCAGAAAAGCTAGGAGACTACATATATGATATAGAATGGAAAGGCAGAAACTATTTTTTAAGAGAGATAGGTATCAGGGCCAGCCCCGTGGCTTAGCAGTTAAGTGCACATGCTCCACTACTGGCAGCCCGGGTTCGGATCCCAGGCGCGCACCAACGCACCGCTTGTCAGGCCATGCTGAGGCAGCGTCCCACATACAGCAACTAGAAGGATGTGCAACTAAGACATACAACTATCTACTGGGGCTTTGGGGAGAAAAAGGGGGAAAAAAGGAGGAGGATTGGCCATAGATGTTAGCTCAGGGCCAGTCTTCCTCAACAAAAAAAATGAGGAGGATTGGCATGGATGTTAGCTCAGGGCTGATCTTCCTCACAAAAAAAAAAAGAGAGAGAGAGAGGTATCTTTGACTATACAGAAATGTTTAATTTCTATATGTCAAAATATACCACATACAAAGTTCAATGGAGGAGTAATATATGGGGGGGAAAATACTATAATGTGAATGATAGATAAAATTTTAACATCTATAATATTAAAACAAAAGTTCTCATAAATTGACAAGAAAATAACTCAAGAGAGGGCCGGCCCCGTGGCTTAGCGGTTAAGTGTGCGCGCTCCGCTACTGGCGGCCCCGGTTCGGATCCCGGGCACACACTGACGCACCGCTTCTCCAGCCATGCTGAGGCCACGTCCCACATACAGCAACTAGAAGGATGTGCAACTGTGACATACAACTATCTACTGGGGCTTTGGGGGAAAAAAAAGGAGGAGGATTTGCAATAGATGTTAGCTCAGAGCCAGTCTTCCTCAGCAAAAAGAGGAGGATTAGCATGGATGTTAGCTCAGGGCAGATCTCCCTCACAAAAAAAAAAAAAAGAAAAGAAAAGAACTCAAGAGAAAAATGATCTTTCATACATCACCAGTGGGAATATGAAATATTATAACTTGTTGGTGACAGTAGGAATCTATCCTACAGGGAAAAAAGAATATGTACATAATGAAAGTGTTTATCGCAGCAGCATCTATTGTGGAAAAACAATTGGAGACAAAATGTAACCCCTCAACAAGAGGTTAGTTGAGTATGTTATAGCACATTCACACCTCGGACTTTTAGGCAGCCACTGAAAACTATGAATTAAAAGGATGTGTGTGTTTAGTGTGTGTGTGTCTATCTCTACATGAGCATGGGAAAAAGTGTATCAGGGTGACTAAGATGGATTCCAGGTAGGGAAGATAAGAGTGATGAGAGGGAAAGGGGAAGGAGGGTGAGGTGAAGATAAAAAAAAAAAAGAAAAAAATCTCACACATACAAACAGCATGTATAAAATTTCATTTGTGCCTTTATGGAAATTTATATATGTATATATAATAGAAAATAAACATTTTAAGGGTATATTTCTTTTGTTCAAACTTCTATAACTAAGAAGTCTTAACCAATTTAGAGTCATTAGTTCAAATTAGTGAGGTTTTACTTCAATAAATTAAACCTAAGAAGTAGTTTGGAAGAAAATTTTTTTAAATGATATGGAATGTAGATTTATAAGAATGTTATTGTTTGTCTTTGCTACAGGGTTTTCTACATTAATCTGAATCTAGGAAAACAAACTAATGTTTAGGCCTGTGATTCCCAAACTTTAGCTTGTATCAGAATCACCTGAGAGCTTGTGAAAAGACAGACTGCCAGACTACTAACCCACCCCTGCCACCCCCACCCAACCCCTTCTTCTCCCCACCCCCCCTCTCCTCCCCACCCCCGAGATGCTGGGTCAGTAGGTCTGGAGTAAGACTCAAGAATTTCCATTTCTACAAGTTCCCTGGGAGGCTGATATTGTTGGCCAGGGAACCACACCCTGAGAACCAATGGTCTAAAGCAAGCTAATGTCCAAATGAGGGAAATGACTCACGAGATAGCCCCTTCACAACAACTGTACTCACATTTAAGCCAGCTTTCTTCCAATAATAGTTGCTATACTGGTTAACCATGCACTTTGTTTTTTCTTTAAACTTTTCTTCTGAGTCAATGGACCACCAAGGATCCAGGTTTCCATTTTTATCATATTTTCTACCTAGCAAAAAGGAAAGTTAAAAGATATTTGTATTATTTATGGAAACTAATTTCTTCATCTTCCCGATCCTTCACCTCGACAAGCCTTGAAAAAGCAGTCCCAGCATCGGGGACCACTCCTAGGAGCAGCTCCTGCCTTCTCTCCAGTGTTACAGGTTAATTGTAAAAAGTAGGGAAAGGAGAAAGAGGTTTGAGGAAGTTCTTTCCTTCTAAGGAACAAAGAGCATTTTAAAAATAAGATTCATCAACTTATGGCATGCACCACTGTTAACCAATCTTGGATTCTTTGTTTTCACCTGATCTGACCCAAAATGTTCTCTGGATTATGAAATGAAATGGCTTCATTCAGAAAGCCCATGAAGGGAGTCAGAGCACCACTACCAGTGAAATTCCAAATGATCCATACGAACAGCCCGGGTGAGTCATTCACACCCTGCGACCACAGCCCCTGACTCAGCCTTATAGGAACGTGTTTCCTCCAAGTTGCCAGGAGCCGAGAGACACATAAAACCTCTGTTATGAATCATTCCGCAGCCACCAGTGTGGATGGAAGGCCCATCTGTCCTGCTTTGACAAGGAAAGTTGCTCTAAAAGGAGAACTTGGAAGAAGAATGGAAATCTCCAAAACATAATGGAAAAAAAAGATTAGTTATACATGCTTTTTTGCTACAGGCTCACTCTTCATTTTCTCTACACCCTTCAAAAAAAAGTTTCAGTGTATCTGAACTATCTTCTATACTCAAGGTTACTATGGGTTTAAATTTAATTATGCAGAGAACTCTTCATTGGGCTTACAAGCAAGTCCTCTAAGTAAAGGTGTTAATAGGAACAACCCAAAGCTCTTTAGCAAGGCCAGATGACACTACCACCACCCCCTGGGAGAGCACGGAGTCACTGTCCTCCACCCACTAACCAACCAATCATTAAATAGTACTGGGCATGTACTTAGATCTGTGACGCACTGTTCTAAGTATTGGTTACAGAGTGAAATTGCCAGCATTAGATTCTGTCCTTTGAGCGAGAATCCAGAAGTCCTCCAGAAGATTCTGGGGGAGAACTGTACTTAAATTTTCCAGGAAGAAAGGCCCAGAACCAAGAGATCACTACCAGCTTTGGTTGACTTTGGTTTCTTAGCTAACACTCTCCTCTCAGATAAACCTCCTCTCAGACAAACCAAACATGCAAAGACAGAAAGTGCGGCTCTGGGGATTCAAGGCAGTTACATTTTAACAGGGAGGGGAAATCAGGGGAACAAAAAACCTAAGTGATTAAGGAAGGGCTACTGTGAGTACAGGAAGAATTGTCCAGAAAGAGAAGAACCAAAAGGTCTCTGGCCCTGGGGTAGGCATCTAGGAAAGAATGTTGGAGACACCATGGACATGGAAGAAAGAGGTCCCTCTATACAACGTTGCCTTGGGCCAGCCAGGTCCCTAAGTCTGCGTGTAAATCACTGCATGGATGTGGATGTGATTGTAATTTGCTGCTAATTCATAAGTTTCAGAGATTTCATGTGGCTTTCCAATAATACTTCAAAGTTACAGGAGAAATGAATGCTAATTAAAAATGATGATGACTCTCAAAAGGCAATCATTTCTTTAGTTTATGCCATATTCTGCTCTTTCCTTTTGCTTAAATGTCATCACGATACATAGCATAGTCTATATTATACATTATTAGGAAAGCACAGCCTTTTAAAAAAATTCTGAATATATGCCAGCATAGAGAAAAATAGAGATTGAGCATTGCATAATCCTTGAAATAGTATAAAGGAGCCAGTCAACCAAGCTGCAGAGTCCTAACTTGGCAGCATGTATAATCATCTTAGGAGCAGAGCTCACACCTCCAGGGAAAGCATCTCGAGATGGTGAATAAAGAAATAAAGACAAAGGGGAGAAGCTATAAAGCAATTCCTATAACTATGGTGGCAGCTACAGCAATCCTGATCTAAATGCAAAGCTAATTTAATTGAAATTACAAGGTCTTTTTTCATTCTACCCCATCACCAACGGGAACAATTATTTATTTATTGGAAGCTATCACAGCAAGACATGGGGAAAGGTTTTCAATCAGCAATCATACTGCTTTGGATAATCTTCAATCTATGATGATGCCGCTATGCAAAGATAATAGCAACAATTAACATCCATATAGTCAACATTATCATAAAAGCAGCAGCTTATAAAATGAACGAGTACTTACCATTATTATCAAACCCATGTGTAAATTCATGTCCAACAATTACTCCTATAGCGCCATAACTCAGAGATCTATGGCATAAATATATAATTTGGAGAAAATTACAAGCATGAATCTCAGAGCATAATCCTTTAATTTTTTTCAATGAAAAGCCAAGATAATCTGTTTTCTAGTAATGATAATAACAATCTAATAACCACACTCACAAAATTCTAAAAAAAACTAAAACTAAACGCACCCTTCTCATTGAAATGGACAAAGAAAAATATAAATTCTAACATTGCCATTATGACGATGTATGGGCCTTAGCATCCTACCTTGTGAAATCAGGGATGTGAAAGAGATGGGTTCTCAAGTCCCTTCCAGCCCTAAGGTTTCTATGATTCTAAATCTGCTCTAGCTGTAGTTTATATTTATAAACACCCAAAGCAGCAGCAGGGTTTGAAAAGATCCTGTCAGTAAGCATACCATTTATTTTTTATCTGAGAATCTGTTGAAAAATCTCTATAGACTTAGAAGTTAAATTGTTTTCCAAATGTAGTCATAAAAAAGAAATAGAGCAGAGATCAAAAGGGATCACTCTGCTTTCAAAGGTAGTCACGTTCCTCTGCTTCTGTGACAGACAAGCTCACAACTGAACGGTAAAGACTGTGAAGGCTTAACCAGATTTGGAAAAGGTGTTATACTATTTCTCTTCACCTCTGAAGGAGCATGTGGTAGATTACCTACAAAAGTGACCACCGACAATTCCACCCACCCTGAATGCATGTGCCCCTTCTCCCATCAGGAGGCAACCTATCTCCTTCCGCTTGAATCTGGATGGGCCTCGGGACTTCCTGTGACCAACAGAATGCAGTGGAAGGGGCCAGGTCTGGCTTCTGAGCTTAGGCCTTGAAAGGCCTTGTAGTTTGCATTTTTTGCCCCTTTGGAAGTCAGCTGCAATGTAAAGAAACTGGACTAACCAGCCCTAGAGAGAGAGGCCATGTGAAGCAAGTGAAAGATGTCAGAAGTTGAGAGACTTCTAAAGGAAGAGAGAGGTCCAGCCAAACCCCAGCCATTCAAGCCAGCCCAACTAGGGCACCAGATGTGAGCGCAGTCATCTTAGATCCTCTGGCCCCAGTTGAGCTGCCCCAGCCAACACCACACAAAGCAGAGACAAACAGTCTCAGCTGAGTCCTGCCCAAATTGCAGAATCATGAGATGATAAGTGGCCGCACTTTGTTACACAGCAATAGATAACCGAAACAGAACATATTAATGATATCTGAAGAAATCAATAAGGGGGCTTCCATATGTGTGTGTCTGGGATCTTCTCTCTCAACTACAAGTTCCATGAAGGCCAAATCCTTATCTACTTGATCACTGCTAAATGCTCTGTACCTAGTACACAGTAAGAAAGTAACCATTTAACTAATTCATTAATTAACTTTACCATTTCATGCAAGTGACAGATCTACATGTAACTTCTTTTAGTCATTTAACGTGTGGATGAGGATTATAGACAATTTAAAACCCTTGTTATGAGGATTCTTCCTGAGATTTGCAATCATGCTAAAAATATTTCACAATTGGTCCCTGACATGCAACATCAAAGTCACCCAGCAAATAGCCAGGACCCATAAGTGGAAGGAAGGAGAATTTTTGAAGCAACATGTTATTACAGGACATAATGATCCTTAACATGCTAATTGTTTGTCTCAACTATACCCAAGCAAGTTCTATAAGATTTAATTTTTCCCCTTGGTGGCAATTCTTTCCTTTGTTATTTCTTTTCTGCAAGGTAATTTGCATTTGAAAAAAATGCTTCTTACTGTTTTTCCATCATTGCAAACTTTCATTAAAGAAGTAAGAGTAAAATTATGCATTTCAATCATAGAGCTATCATAGCAGTGTGGGACAAACTTGTAATTTTACATAGTGCTAATTTTTGCAACAGTTGCTATCACTGTGCAGCCTGTAACATTTCATTTTCCCAGGCCTCTCAGCCCTGAGAATAGTGCTTGGTCTTCTACAACCCTCGGTTGATGCTGTTGACTGGATGAATTTAAGGGATGAACAATGGAAGCTTATAGGAACTGCTCTGTAATAAAGTCCCTTTAAGAGGGACCGCTCCAACAAGCTTCCTCTTTGCAAAGGGTAATAGAGAATTCTGAAAATGATTAAATCATTGTAAGTTCCAATTCTCAGTTACATAATCACAATCCTTTGGACAAGAGACAAAGAAAAAGTAATTTTATACGACTAAACCTTACAATGATAAGGTTCCATAAAACTAAATTCACATTTTCCATTTTATCAATGGACATTATTTAAATTAGCATGTCATAAAAATAAATAAATAAACTCTTACAATATTTGTCTGGCTGGCCAGAAATAAGAAGACTCCTACAGAGAAAATCTAGCCTTCCAAAAGTAAAATGGGGAAGACAATTTTTCCACCTATTCAGTTTCTCTTTTGTTCTCATCACCCAATGGGTTTAACATGTGCGCAAGATTTGCTGTCAACCACAAAACAATCGTACTGCCATCTGGAGCAACCATGATCTCACACTGTCATCAACTAAAGGCTATTCTGTGTCTGAATTGGAAATTCACAAAAATCTTAGAGTTGGAAGCAACTTTAAGGTCATCTAGTTCAACTCCTTAGCAGAGGCATGAGACCCCTCTACAAAAACCTGTTCAAATGGTTTTAAGACTTCTCCTTGGGCATTTCCAATAACCAGGAGCTCACTCCCTTCTGAGGTAGCCCATTCCCTTTTTGGGTGGTTCTAAATAAAACAGCTCTCCCTAATACTAATCTAGAGTCTCTTTCCTATGTCTTGTATTGGTCTAGTGTAGTCTCTAGCCGAACGCCTTCTGAACCCCCTGAACACAGTAAATCATTCTGCCATCTTAACTTTCCTTCAAAAATGTGGAGACAGTTATGAGGTTCTCCCTCAAGTGTTCTTTTTTCAAGTTCTTTCAACTTTTTTTCTTCAGTCGTGAATTCTAGATCAGCATTTCCCAAAATATAGGGAAAAGAGGAGTTTAGGAAACTCTGGGTTAAAAATATTAAAAAGGGGGCTGGCCAGGTGGTGCAGTAGTTAAGTGTGCAAGCTCCACTGCAGCAGCCCGGGGTTCGCAGGTTCGGATCCCACTGCTTTCCAAGCCATGCTGTGGCGGCATCCCATATAAAGTAGAGGAAGATGGGCACAGATGTTAGCCCAGGGCCAGTCTTCCTCAGCAAAAAAGAAGAGGATTGGCATCGGATGTTAGCTCAGGGCCGATCTTCCTCACACACACACACACACACAAAAAACATTTAAATAGGTTTCTTTCTTGCAGAACTTCTTGGGAACTTTTATGCTGCTAAGTATTGTGATTCTCCAAAGTAAAAGGAAGGGGAGGAGGACTTGCCTCTATTACTACTTTACAGAATACACACTTTAGGAAATGTTGTCTTAAGCCATTTACGATCCTGATTCTCTCCTCTGGAAACAATTCTGCTTATTGATGTCCCATAATTAGACCCAACACTCAGGGGAGGGTTAAGCTGACCAGTGTGAGCAGAAAGGATACCCACTCACTGGTTCTGGAGGCTATCCATCCAGAACAGATGGAAGTATGGGAAGCCATCTCACTAGACTGTGATTCCCATGTCTCCAGCATCTCCATATTTCTAAAAGATACTTAATAATTATTCATTGAGCAGATATCTTAATAGAGGATGGATGGATTCACTGAGGACATAGAACTCTTACTTCTATAGCTACCCAGGTTCTATTGCAAGTTTTTGAGCAGGTAAGCTGTAGCCTATTAATGTCCAAGCTCCTTACCTGGCATTCAGAGCCCTCCAATAGCAAACCTCCACCTTCTTTTCCACTACTTCCCTTCATATACCACTTGGACCAGCCACACTTCTCTTTGCTATTCTATAAGCATTTTTTCTTCCTTTTATCACATTGTTTCTTCCATTTCAAATGGCTTTAGACCCATCACCATCAACTCAAATTCCAACAATCCTTCAATGCCCAAATATTTGTACTATGAGTCAACATATAAGTGAATAAACGAATAAAAATGAAAGCTATGTATAAGTTGGCTTTCCTGTCCAGTCACACACCTTAGAACAAGAATTAGAAAACAAATACCTAAAATGGTGAGAGTGGGGCCCACCCACGCCAGGCTCCATGCCCTCTTTTTGCTGAACAACCATTGGCTTTGTTTTTTTGAATTTATATTCTGTGCTCAGCCAAAGCAGCATGTTTTTCCTTACTTGTCAATAACTGGTTTCTTTACTAATTTACTTACCGAGGATATTCTGTTCCCCAAAAGAAAGGCTTCTGGAGCTCTCCTGCTGGAAACCCTGGGAGAAAGATGAACAAACAAATAAAATTGTAAGGGATGTAGAGAGATTGATTCAGCAACAAGTACCTGGTTCCAGCTGTAGCCTTGAGGTTTCAAAGGCCCATCTGAAAGGTACTCCTTGCGGAGTGGAGAGCTCTTTAAGACATCCAACTGTCTGTAAGATGATATTAATTCAACTCAGTTCAAAATAAGTGCATTACATCAGTTTTAAGGAACCCATTTTGCAGGGACACACTATTGGCAGTGCCCAGCCCGCTGTGACCTGAGTTCCTTCATACACAGCATGTGCAGGAGGCCTCCAGCTGACCAGCAGCTTCCCCGATACAGACAGCGCCAGCTTCACGGGCACGCAACCTGTGCAGTCACACAGGACCCCCCACACAGAAGGACCTTGCACTCGGTGTAATGCTCTGTCACTGTCTTGAAATCCTTAGTAATTTTATCTTTAACTTAATTTTGTAAGTAGAGCCCAAGGGGACAAGGAAGCATGTGTGTGAGCAAAGGAGCCGAGCATGATATGCGTGCTCGCAGTTCCTAGATGCCGCATTTGCATACAGCGTTCACGACGCTCTCCCCAGGAGCACAGAACTCCAGTAGACCCACAATGTGTGGGAGTTCAGTGAGACTCAAAGTGAGTGCAAGGTAAGCATGTTACATCTAGGACTGAGTAGGCGGGGGCTCTGACAGCCCCGAGAGGCCATTCTTTCTGTTGGAACCAGAATTGGCTCTGATCACCAAAAGAAGGCAATGGCATTCTAAGAAACACGAATAACCAAGGAACCCTATCATATCCTTTCTTACTCCTGTTACTTGCCTGCATTAGCCAACCATTTACACTGAAATTGAAGACATAGAAGGAAAGGAAGAGATAGGGTGACTCATGGTTTCTTTTCCTTTCAGTCCTTCCTTACTCATCAGTAAGCCAAAGACAGAGAGTGTTGGCAGAACGTACATGTACTAAGAAGTGAAATAAAAACAGCTGAGTTAGTTTTGTGCAGCATTTCCACTGTTCTGGTGAGAACAAAATACATATGCATGTACAGCCTACAAAATATAAACTGTATGATTTTGGTGACTCCACCTACAAGTTAAATGCTCTTATATTTACATTTAAAATGGGCATTGCACAATATAGAGATGAATTTGGTAAAATTATGCTAATGATTTTAAATTTTAATTTTTCTTACAATGGTATTAAATAGTAAATAAAACTACCATAACGAGTCTAGAGACAGAGAGGCCGTGGAAGACAGGACAAAGCTTTATATTCTAGGACCTTTAACAGCACTTTCTCCTGCTTTCTGAACAGGGGCCACCACATTTTCATTTTGCAGTGGGCCCTGCAAATTACGTAGCTGGCCCTGGGTGCAGATGAGTGGGAGAAATGCTTTGCTCTGCCACTGCAACTCACCACTAAATTTTGCACCCTGGGTTGATACTAGGAGCTGCACTTAAGTTATCAAGCTTGGAAAGCAAGGAATAGTAACAAAAGAGAGACAGAGAGAGATAGAGACACCTTCTGCAATGTCCTTGCCTGCTCCAGAGCCACTGCTCAAGGACCCTTGAGACTGAAAGCTCTTTTACGAGTTAAAATGTTTTCTCTTCCCTCTCTCCCTCTCAACATTCTTTCTACCTCCCCTCCATGACAGGACACTGCGAGGAGAAGTGAGGGTAGGAAAGCAAGTTCTTAATTTAGAAGTGAAATGTTAATTCTATATAACTCGTATATATATTCTATTTTTTAAATAATATCATAGTTTGAGACTTCAAGGTGCAAAAACCTAATTGCAAAATAGAGACGGATCCAGCTAGTAGTTCTCTCTCTTCTTGCTGATTTCACATAAAGGAAAATGCATCTGACTTTGAAGGGGTAATGCCGTATTAATCTCCATAATTTCTACATTTTCTTAAATATCTTTGGCACCTTTACATCAATACTGCATCCATTTTTTTTTTTTGCTGAGGAAGATTAGCCCTGGGCTAACATCTGTGCCCATCTTCCTCTACTTTATATGTCGGACACCTGCCACAGCATGGCTTGATAAGCGGTGTGCAGGTCCACACCCAGGATCTGAACCTGCAAACCCTGGGCCGCCAAGCAGAGTGCACAAACTTAACCACAACGCTACCAGGCCGGCCCCCCATCTTCCTCTTTTTTTGCTTGAGGAAGATTAGCCCTGAGCTAACATCTGTACCAATCTTCCTCTATTTTATATGCAGGTCGCCACCACAATATGGCTGACAAGTGGTGTAGGTCCACACCCAGGATCCGAACCCGCGAACCTGGGCGGCCGAAGCAGAGCATGCCGAACTTAACAGCTAGGCCACAGGGCTGGCCCCCTCCATCCTCTGTTTTGGTGATTACTTTTAGTAAGTCATTCTGACTTTTATATATATGCAAATATATATTACATATGTATGCAAATCACAGTGTTTATATGAAAATTCCATCTCACACAATATATCATCAAAAAGCAATGATATTTCCTAATAAGAACAATGATCATAAACCAATGTGATTTAATTATTAAATCATTATGGCTTTCCTGCTTGGTAATGTGCCCAGCTGGAAGCATTTATGCCCACTGCCAACCTCTTTACAGAAAAACATCTGACACCTGCATGAGCCTCATTCTGCTGCTGTTGCCGTGCAGGCCTCAGACAGCACACTCCCCTGATCAGCTGTATCTGCTCAGCTTGTTGGGGCCATGGAACCCAACACTGATCAACAGAAGAATCTGATGCCCTTAGGACTATTTTGCTAAAGTGAATGGATTAACAGTTTAAGCTGCGTTTTTGGAGACGTCAACTGGCAAAAGTGACAGATGGAATCCCAACAGGGCCAACTCAGTATCTTATCTCATAAAGTGGATAAGCTGTATTTAGCAGAGGTAGAAGTAAGAAATAATTAAATAAATGGAAAGGGAATTCTTTCTCTAATAGGCTCTTCTTTCTTGCATATCCATTTTATTCCCTTTTTCCCCCATTTCAGCACTGTCTCCCCACCTGTTTCACACCTTTAAAGCTCCTTTTTTCTATCAGTGTAGTATATTTATGGGAGGCATTCCTCACAGTGTGAATGTGTGTGTGTGTATATATGTACACATTTACATACACACATATACACATATAGATGAGCGATAGGAAAGAGGGGAGAGGGAGGAAAGAGAAATTAAACTATTAGATTGGCACACATTAATAATTTTGATAATAGGTAATATTGGCCACGGGAGGACATTGGTGGGAGTGTAAATTGTTGCAAGCATTTTGAAGAGCAATTTAGTCATCTCTTAACACTTTAAATGCCATTTTAAAAATTAGTAACTACGTGTTGATATGGAAAAAGCTCTAAGAGATATTCAGTGAAAAAAAATTAAGTGAAAAAACAGTATTTAGTCCCGGATGGGGTCCTCTTATGGGTGATATATGTGTAACTCTATGTATAGGTATATACAGTCAGTTCTGCTATAACACTTGTATTGAAAAGGCAAATTTGTTCCGATGTGATTGATATATTAGGGGGAAAACTGGGGCATAACTCCAATTTCACGTTTGCTTGTGTGCAGTTTCGTCCATGAGAAATGCTAGGTGAAAGCAGAAAAATGCACCCAAATGTACTGAGCCACATAGGAATACACAAAATGCACACATCTCAACACGCACCAGCTACCTCAGTTCACCGCATGTGTTAGAAGTCACATCCACCCACATCTGGTGTTAAAATTTTCCTCCCAATTTCAGACAACCCGCCTTCCACCACTACACAATAACTCACAAACTACAAGCCCTCCAACGCCCACTTCCACAAGCAAACTTCATGTCCTGTGAAGGGAAAACACTATATTTACTGTTGCATTTATGTATTTACCTATTTAACACGTGTAAAAACTGTGCTGCCAGCCCTGGTGGTCTAGTGGTTAATACTTGGTGCTCTCAACACTGAGGCCCAGGTTCATTTCCCGATCAGGGAACCACACCGTCTGTCTGTCGGTTGTCATACTGTGGTGGCTGTGTGTTGCTGTGATGCTGAAAGCTATGCCACCAGTATTTCAAATACCAGCAGGGTCACCCATGGTGGACAGGTTTCAGCAGAGCTTCCAGACTAAGACAGACTAGGAAGAAGGACCTGGCCACCCACTTCTGACAAAATTGGCCATGAAAACCCTGTGGATAGCAGCGGAGTATTGTCTGATATGGTGCTGGAAGGTGAGAGGATGGTGCAAAAAGACTGGACAGGGCTCTGCTCTGCTGTACACAGGATCTTTAGGAGTTAGAATCCACTGGAAGGCACTAACAACAACAAAACTGTGCTATCATTTTTATTAGGCCCCTAGGTTTTGTTTTCATGTGTCACCGATAAAGTTTTTGATTGTTGTGTCCCTAATTTCATTTTCCCATAAGCCCTGTGGCTTTTATTGCCCAATTTTGCATAGTGCAATGATGTTTAGGAACACATATGTCGCATTATAGCGGAACTGACTGTATACGTACACGTATGCATCTACGTGTATATGTACACACATACATTCCTGCCGGCAGTTCTCAAATTTTATCATGCATCAAATCATCTGGAGGGCTTACTGAAATACAGATTGCTGGGCCCCACCCTCAGAGTTTCTTAGTCAGTAAGTCTGGAGAGGGGGCTAACAATTTGAATCTCTAACAAGTTCCCCTGTGACGCTGATGCTGCTGGTCTTGGAACCATACTTCAAGAACCACTACCCAATCGCTGGCTCATGCACACTGTGGAGTCATGACTAAATATGTTCATTGCTGCTTTGCTGTAATTGAGAAGAGTGTGCAACAAACTAAATGTCCAACAGGAGAGGAATGACTGAATTATGGTATAACCATATTATGGACTGCTGTGCAGCAAATGAAAAGAGGTAGGTCTTAATATTCTAGCATGGAAAAGTTTCCAAGACATGTTGGAATAAAGCAAGGCATAGATATAGATCTATAAATATCATTTCTATTTTTTAAATAACTATCCTATCA